TTATGACTTATTTTGCTTAGTCATTTTTAACCCCAACTTTAAAATGTTGGAAAAACTATGACAGTGCCTTTTACACAGAATCTTTTTCTTATTAGGAACTGAACTACCAAAATACTCTCACTTTTAATCCATAAACTTAAAAATTGTAAAATGGATGCTTAAGATGTGTGGTGAACAAAGGACACCACTATTAATAATACATTTTTAAAAGAGAAGTTCAATATGACAAAGACTCCTTCATAACTGCAACAACCCTGTGGGGTAGGATGGGTTCCATTGTTCCCACTAGGCAAGAGCTAGAGTTGTTTCTCTAACACATTGGGATAGAAGTAGCATCTCTTGGCTCCTAGCCTGGAATAAATACAGCCAGGATCCTAAATATTGAAAGGAAATGAATCAACATCAATTTAACAGATCTACTCAAAGTGCAAAATTCCATAAAAACTCTATTAAAAAATAGCCTGATTTTCTTAATCTTGATATAGAGTTCAAGACTGACTCACCCAGTATTGTTCCTCCAATGGGAGTCCTATCTGGGGATTTAGTTGAAGCTCTGTGAGTAACATTCTGAATCACTGTTGAAATACAAAAAGATAATAGTATGTGTTGGGGGGAAATAGTCAGAAAGCAGTAAGAAGCTAATAATGTGAAGTCATCTGCACTGAAGAAGCACTGATCTAACTTTCTAATTAATAAAAAGGAACTCATTGGGTTGACTGCACAGCACATCTTACCTTAACACCAATCCCTATAAGTACCGAAAGGCTATTATTACTTTAAAGTGTTCTATTCTAAGGAGTTGAAAATTTCCTAAAGCACTAGCACAAAATGAGGCAATGACCTAATAAATTAAAAAATATATATTCTCAAAGCAAAGAATCATTGGATAATTCCAGTACTAATTGACCCTACTTTGAGAGTATACTTGTGACATTATTTTCTTAATTTGAAGAACAATTTTAAGTCCCCAATCTCTTCTACCAAGAAACTTTCTGGACATGATAAAGTGGGCCTGGAGAGAATTATGCTAAGTGAAATAAGCCAGTCAGAGAAAGATTATCACATGATCTCACTCATATGTAGAATCTAATGAACCAAATTAACTGATGAACAAAAAAATAGACCCAGAGACATAGAAGCATGAACAGACTGTTGAACCTCAGAGGGAAGGCAAGGGAGGGTGAGGTGGGAAGAGATCGACCAATGAATTTATATGCATATATGCAAACCTGTGGACACAGACAATGGGGTGGTGAGGGACAGAAGTGGGCTGTGAGAGGATAAGGAGGGAAAAAGGAGGACCTATGTAATACTTTCAACAATAAAGATTTTTTAAAAATGTTAAAAATAATAATTTGAAAAACTGAGAGTCAAAACAAAAACAACTGGATAATGAAATAAAATAAGACATTATAATTCTTGAAGCCTGGATGTCTTACATTTCCCTAAAGTTCAGTTCATTAATTCATATCCTATGAATGATTTTATTCATGTTTGCTAGCTTAACACTAAACTAAGCCACACATATTTAATGGGCTTTTTGGAATTGAATACTTATGACTGATTTGTCTCTGATTATCCAAACAATGTGACTTGCCAGGACTAGGCCTATTGGTACAAGAGCCAAAATTACCTATTAACTTCTAATTTACTAGGTCATACTGATTACTTTAAACATTTTATGAAAAACAATAATCAGAGAAGTTGAGAAAAAATGTGTTATGCTGAATGATCTGAATTTAAAGAGTATATTAAAAATAGTTATAAATACATATCCAGAGCAGACTTATAAAATTACCTTGCTTGATGATTGTTATTGGGATCAGCTTCCTTGGGACATATGCTGGCTGGAAAAAGAGGAATAATCAGTTTTTGAGTTAGTGCTAATAAAAAAAAAAAAAGAAGAAGAACTGGAAGTAGCCCTTTCTTGTTTTTAATGAAGCCTCCCACGACACTGGTTTAACAGTTGCTGGAAAGATCTTTGGTACATATATATCTATCTCTACTTTATTGGGCAACCTCCCCCTATAAATGTCCAAAGATCTGACAGAAGCAATTTCTTCAGAACTCTCATTCGTTTACTTAGAAACTGCAATGGAAAGAAACTAAATCTTCTGGGTTGAATACTAGTTAATTTTCACTTTATTTCAGGTGTAACCTGTCAAACTCTGCCTTTACATTCTCTCTCATATAGATGTTAAGCTACATATTATTTTTCTAAACCAAACAACATCGATTGTTTGAGTGCACCCACTTGCTGCCACTGCTACTACACACACACACACACACACACACACACGCACGCACGCACGCACGCACACACACACACACACACACCATGAGCTCCTGACACCACACATTTCCTTGCCCAAGAAGGTTGAGCTTGGAATCAAATCTAGACATTTCTACTTCCAAAGCCTGTACTCTTAACCATTCTGTACATATTTATGCACAAGGGACCTCAGAATTAGAAGGGTCGTTCTCAGGAGACTGTGCACTTTTGTCTCTCCCAAATTGCCTCAGATGTCCCACTGGGAGTTTTAAAATCATAGACCTACTTGAACTAGGGATGGGTATAGTGTGAACTTTAAAGGGAAGCCATCACTGTGAGCCAAGGATAAGACAGCCAAGGAAGAGACATGGGAAAAAAATAAGAGAAAGGCAACAAGTGATATAGAGAAGAATTAGGTTGAGTTACAGAGGTAAGCATGACATCAATTTCTTTTTTAAAAAACTGATTTCAGTAAGAGAGAGAAACATCCATGTGAAACATCAATTGGTTGCCTCGCACATGCACCCTGACTAGGGATCAAACCCTCAATATGGTATGTGCCCTGACCAGGAATTAAACTCACCACTTTTGGTGCATGGGACGAAGCTCCCACTAACCGAGCCACATCAGCCAGGAAGACATCAATTTCTTGATGCTTAAAGTGTATACATAATACAGATATTCTACCTACTAGACCTGTTGATAAATTAGGATGTGCTGAATGAAATACTTACAGCATTATTGTGAACAAAAGAGACTAACATGTTACCATTTTAATAAATGACCTTTCCATAATAAAGAAGTGGCATTATACCAAGCTTACTGTTGGCTATTTTTCTTCTTGTATTAAGATCCTTATGTTTAAAAATAAATAAATGAACAAAATTGACTATCATCAGATTATTTAAAAAATAATCTACCTATTGACTCAGAGCTCTATACTGAATGCTGTGCCCCTCCTAACTCATATGTTAAAACTTACTCCCCAATGTGATGGCATTAGAAGGTGGGGCATTTGAGAAGTAATTAGGTCATAAGGGTGGAACCCTCATAAATAGAATTAGTGTCCTTATAAAAAAGACCCCAGAGAGCTCCCTCCACCCTTCCACCATGTGAAGACAGCAAGAGGATGGCTGGTTGTGAACTAGGAAGTGAGCTCCACCAAACCCCAAACCTGCCAGTGCCTTGATCTTGGGTTCCCAAGCTTCGAAATGTGAGAAACAAATGTTTCCTGCTTTAGACACCCAGTATATGGTATTTTTGTTATAGTACCCTGAATGGATTAAGACGCCCAGCAACCTAGCCTAAGGAATTAATCGAAGATACAAATAATCTTTTATGTGTAAGGGTATTTATTCCCCAATGTGAAACAATCTTATTATCCAAAAACAGAGGTTTTATTAAATAAAGTATGGTTTGAGTTTTTGACATCTATTTAATAAAGTAGAAAAATATGCATGCGATAAATACAAAGGATATAAGTTTGTAACCACAACATAACCTGATTTTATAACTAATATGTATAGATAAAAGACCAGAAGGAAATAGATCATAGTTTTTTTAACAGTAGTCTTTGGGTATTTTGCTGTTAAAAGAGAAATTTTATTAAATAAGAAAATTAAAAGACAATAAAGTAAGGAGGTTGTGTGGTAGATAGTAAAGAAGAATAGATTCAACATAAAGAATTCTGACTTATGAATAGTAGTTATTTTTATAAGCTTATAGTAATTTTATTTCATATACCTTTCTCTAGTTTCCAAATTTCTTACATGAATGAAGTACATTTATAATTAGAAAAAGTTATTTTAATCAACAGTCTGTTCAGTTCCTACATATGCTCCTGCACTACATAGCTCATATACTATTGGCAAAGAGAAAATATCCTACTAATAATAGACAAACATGGTAATTAACCGTACCTCCGACATACTTCCCATTGGATAATCAGGGTGATATGCAAATTAACTGCCAACCAAGATGGTGGCTGGAGCCAGGCAGCTGAAGCAAACAGGAGGCTTGCTTGCTCCAGTGAAGGAGGAAGCCAAGGTTCCCCACCTGCTGCTGCTGGCCTCTGAGCTGCAGTCTAAGAAACAATGTTGCAAATATAGAAGCTAAACAATCCCAGAAACCTGTTTTCAGCCAGCTGGGCCTCGGACCTGGAGCTGAAACAGTGTTTCAATTATAGAACCCAAACAAACTCAGATAAGCAGC